GCACTCCGTGCACAGGTTGCGGCCGGCCCCGGAGCCCGCGGGCGGGGGCGGGGAGGCGCCTGCACTCGGGGCTGCCCTCCAACTTCGCCGGTGCCCCTCACTCCCGCCCGCAGCCCCGTGCCCCAACGCCCTGCCGGTGCCCGCTCTGCTGTCGCACCCCTCAGCAATACATTGTGATGCTACATGGACACAGACATCAGTACTCAGCTAGGACAGCGCCCCCGCCAGGTCCCGCCCTTCCCTGTGGCCCGGAGCCTCGGGAAGGCGCTGGCAGGCGCACACAGAACTGTCTGGCCAGGAAACGCGCGGAAGAATAATCCGCTTTGCCGCGGGCTTCCAGACACCTCCTGGCGCGGGCAGCAACAGGCTCCTCCGGTGCTCGGCGCGGACGGGAGGCGGCCAGCGGAGCCCTGGAGCCCGGCCCGCAGCTGCCCCGCGCCGAATTTAGGACGAGGGGGTGGGGGAGCATAATGGCAGGGAAACCTCTAGCAAGGCTGCTCCTGCCTCCGTCCTAAGTTCATGACCGGGACAGCAGCCCCCGCGCCGGCACCCAGGGATATTATGACCGTATTGCATGGCCAGCATTGCCGTTACTACAGCTATTATCTGTTTCTATCACTGCCTATTACATTGCTACTATTACCAATATTACTATAATCTATTATTTTCTATTACTATTGTATATTACTATTGCTACTTATTACTACTATTCTGCTATGATCTATTATGTATTATCTATCACTATTATTCCTATTTATTACCATTACTATTGTTATTATTACTGTTATCTATTGTTGCTACCATTACTGTTGCTATCAATTACTGTTATTATTTATGCGCTATTATTATCTGTGATTGTCTGAATAGCTGCAATATCCACCATCACTCACTGATGAACGGATGCCATATATTGTCCATTATTATCTATTACTATCTATTGCTGTTACTATTATTATTATCCTCTGTTACTATTGCTCTCGCTATATACTATTATTATTACTATGATCTATTATTATCTATTACTATCATAACTAGCGATCAGTATTACTATTATTTATGTCTAGTATCATTATTGTTACAATTATTGACGATAATAATAATAACAACAATATCCTCATCCCTGCCGGACCCACTAATCTCTCCTAGCGTCGGGCTGAATTTCCTGCCCTCTGGGGCCATCTTCGATCACCAGCAAGCTACTAAGGGGGCAGCGAGAACAGCACCCCACGATCGGGGCAATAGTGCTACGACGTCCAGCAAGCCCCACCCGCCCCGGGCTATGAACCCGTCGCTAGCCCCACGTGAATCAGGAGCGATGGGCGCCGATGGGCAGCACCACGATCCCCGCTCCCTCGCGCTAATCGGCTCCGGCGGTAGCCGCGGATGGAAAACATTTCGAGGAAAAGGGCTCAATGCCTCTACTCCGGCGTCTTTAAATATGGAGATAAGCCTATGAGGCTCCGCCCCTTTTTGCTAATAGAACACGGGTGAATTGGAAGGGGGGTCGGAGCGGCTTTCTGATTGGCTGGAAGTTTCTTTTCATGCCGGAGCTTTGGAAAGTGATTTGTTTGGGCCCCGCCCCCCAGCTCCCGC